ACAGATTCCAGAAAAACAGGGGCACCAAAAGGAAACAGAAAGACCCAAAAACTACCACCGCAGCAGGACCCAGCAGCCACCTTGCAATCCTTGAAGCTCCTAAGATAGCATTAAAATTGTTCCTGCAATAAAGCACTCCAAAAAAGGTTATGGAGTAATATTAAAATTAGGAGAATTAAAAGCCCAATACTTCCTGTTAACGTAAAAAGCCTTCTGGCTTCCATCCAGGTGAACAAGCTCATACCCAATACTCCAATAATACAAGTAAACCGTCCAGCCTATTCCATTAAAAGCCAGCCACTCCCATTTAAAGAATCAGCATAAGAGCAATTGTAATCCCATAAGCTATTATTACCAGCCTTTTAAATCAGACAGAAAACAACAAATTCTGGCACTCATCCGGAATACTATAGAAATAGGAATTGCTAAACATCCAGCACATAAAATTCAGAAGGATCCAGTAGTTAAGATACAAAGCCCACTCCAGATTGTCCAAATGGTAGCAAATAAAAAACTCCACCGCCTGGAAACTCCAGACCCCAGCAGAAACCAGGACAGCAAAAACCTACACAGCTAACGGAGAAACCAAAAACCCAGCAGCACAGCCACCATCCAACCCCGACAAAGACAGCATAGACCCAAAAAACATCAAAACTACTAATGCCAATAATAAGGTAAACCATTTTTGTCAAGTTATAATCATGCCTTTAAGAGGAACTGGAATATCATAAACCGAAATATCCAGAAAATTTTCACTTTCAGCACCGAAGTTTGCAGCCAATCCGCACACATGCATTACCTTCGCGATAAATATGGGAGATAGTAAAGTTAAGTAAGGAGAGAGCCAATCTAATTTTTCTTATAGTGTAAAAATCCTGAGGGAAGCACACATCATTCTTAGAAAAAATATGAACAACAAAAGTAGAATCAACTTCGATATTAACATTCTGTAAACCCAACCTCAAACAAATTTGTAAACCTGTACAAAGCATTCAGTCAGAGGTTAAAACAGAACAAGAAGACAAGGACCCAAAAAAATTATGCAAAGAGGAATTCACTTTGAGATCCTGATATATCCCCTATGACAGGCTTTGTTGGCATGGACAGACCCATCGGTATTGCAGTTGACGTATGGATTCATTAGGTTTAGAACACTTCACAATAGACTCCCTGTTACTACGATATCCTCTTTATAAATACCAAGTGATCAGCCCAAAGGAAAAGTAATTAGTAAAATTCTTAATAGAATGAGATCTGACAGGCTTTCATGCTGTAAAATTTTGAACCGCACTTGATATAATATCATAAGCATTCATCTAATACCCAAGTGTTTAGGCCTCATTTCTACTATTCCCAAAGATCCAAATAACACAATAGGGCAAGAAATATTATTTAATGAGACCCTTACTATTCATGAGACCAAAGTTTAAGAATCCGCAGGCAAATCTTAAGTTAGCATTAAAAAAGACCCATTAATCAGCCACATTAAAGAAGTAGGGAACAAACTTTTACCTAGCAATAGAGCCCATTCACGAAACATTGAATGTAAGCTTCAAATATTGAGACAACATTGGGCATTTTGGAAACAATAATAAAGCCCTTTTCCACAAAATATTATCAATAGAAACAAAACCTTTGAGGCACCTCCAAGCAAGAGGGAATAAGACAAAGGTATAGAATTATGCAAAGACATTTAGGTTTTTTCAACTCTACCTTTATTCTAGTCTCATCCAGATTTTTTTTAAGAAAAAATTCCCAAGAGGAAGATAAATAAGCCAAAATTTTATCCTTAACGTGCAGCTGAAAGGGATTTAAATAATTTTTTTCAACAATATCAAACAGGAACAACCTCCTGCAACTTAGGAATATTCCATTTCCCATTATAAAAAAAACGTTAACTCCGTTTAAAATGGTTATGAGTGTTAAAGTAATTATCAATCAGAACCAGTGCCCAAACCAAGTATCTTGCCAGAAGCAACTTTCTCCAAAGCCAATACCCCATTGAATATAATTCTCAGGGCCTCCCATTTAATTTTACAGAGTTTTTTCCAAACCCGAGAATCAGAGCTTTTAAAATGGCACACTAGAGGATTAGAATTCTTACAATATTAGCAATCTAAATTACCATAAAAACTGTTATTAGATATAAAATCAACCAAGTTTATGAGAGAAAACATGAGCATATCAGAATAGATTTACACCCCAACGACCCTTCATTATAGACACCAACAACTTTTTTCAAAGAAGCCCAATAAATCCGATTTTATTATAGTGGCCCCAGAAAAAATTTAATTGATCATTTTCTTCCCATTCTCAAGCAAACAATTGGCAGTAGTTGGCAAAGTGTGAAACAAAATAAAATAGGATAGAGTTCAGAACACTTTAATCAAGGTTTAATTACCACCATAAGAATAAAGCTAGAAGACCAATTAAGAAACTTTTTTTTTGTAAAGAGTAAAAATGTTATAAAAAAGAAAAGTTCTTTTTCCCTCCTTTAAAAAAGGCGTGCCAAAGTAATCTAATAGGAAGAGAAGACTGATTAAAACCACAACCCTTTTAATACCATTAATTTCTAAGTGTTACTAACCAACACCCAGTAATAAATTGCTCTTATCCTATTAATAGAAAGACCACTAATATGCTGAAAAGAAACTAAAATTTGGCAAGACATTTTTAACATTTTTAATTGAGGCATTAGAAAGATAATAAAGTCGTCAGCAGAAAAAAAGGTGATTAATAAGAGGCCCCACCCATAGTACGAAAATTAAGCATCGGGTGCCTATTATAAAGATTCTCAAATCCCTTTAGACAGGTCATTCCATAGCTAAAATAAAAAAGATAGGTGGGGATAGAAGGATCACCTTGCTCTCAGCCCATGCTTAGAAGGTTGGAAAAAATCGTGAGCACTCCATTGATGATAATAGAGAAAAATATATTCAATCTATTCCTTGATAAGATAAGAAAATAGTCATTAAACCCCATCAAGTGTAAACTTTGTAAAGAAAATCCCACTTCAAAATTGTCATAAGCTTTAGGTGATGTCAAGTTGAAAATTATGTTACAACGAAGTTAGTTTTAGTATTCAGATCATGCACCATTTCTGAGCCAAAAGAATATTATCAAAAATACTACGCCCTTTCACAAACCGGTTTGATTTAACAAAATTAATTTTCGGCAAACAGAAAGGAAAGTCTGAGGCATAATTTTAGAACACTAATTTGTTTAAAGAAAGTGCACAAACCTAATAGGTCTAAAATCATTCAGAAACTTAGCGTTATCTTTTTTTCGGATAAGCCAATATTAGTAGACAAGAAGAACTTAGGATAGGAGTTTTGCCTTTTAAAAAAATCATGAACAGCAATCAATATATCAATTTTTGAATAATATCCCAAGTATAACAAAAAATTTCTTCGTAAAACCATCAAGGGTTCCCGCGACAGAGTCCACATTCATCGTCTTAATAACATTCCAAATTTCAGCCTCCATAGGAGGTTTTGAATAGCATATCATTATCAGGCCTCAACACCCAACTTAGGAAATAATGTTAGCATTGTCGATAGGTAAGTTTATCTTCAGGATTGAAAATAAGTTTAATAATCAACACCAGAGTTTAACTAGCAACTGATTCGAATCATAACACAATGCCTTGAGGATTCAAATAATTTTAAATGAATATGAATTTCTCATTCTATTCTTGTTAACCAAAGCATGAAAAAAAAGTGGTGTTTCTAATCCCCTTCAGTAGCCCAAACAATAGAAGTTTTTTGTTCCAAAAAGTTTTCCTTCCTGATTTTGTAATGAAAAAGATGAAGCTTGACAATTGTCAAGATTAGTAATATAATCATCAGACTGATTAATAAGAGCAAAACATTTTCCATCTTCTAGACCTTAACTTCCGCTTTCTTTGTATTATCGAAAAATATTTTTAAAAAACATGTTTGTTCCAGTATCTAAGAGTTTGTTTAAGTCTACTTAAGCTTGGCCCAGAGCCTATTCATACCACCAAATATTGTTGTCAGGAAAAATAGTAGCATTCCAATTAATTAGCAACCATATTAAGAAAATCCAGCATGAAGTAATCCCATATTTTTGAAATCTAAAAGCCAAGAGGGTTTAATAATATTCCCAAATTTGCATAAGAATCGGAGCATGATCAGAAAGCATTCTACTCCAAATGTTGAACAATGAGTCATATATAATTTCCAAATAAGGGCTTTAAACATTAGAATTTTTTTGAATTAAGTTTGAGCCCTAGTAAAGATCTAAGGTGTTCTGAACATCGTATTCTTCCCATTGTTTCTTTTTTTTCTTTTGGCATTTGAGGAGATTCTTCCTCTTCAATATTTTTAGAAATATGCTCAGAACCATCAGGGAAGACTAACTATTACTGCCCCCATCACCCCAATCTTTCTCTTATCAACAAGTAAAACAGAGTTACGACAGGTTTTGGTATATACTCCCTTCTTTCATGATTTCAATGCAACCTGTCTTTGTCCTGAATAGTTTTAGTAATGGCTTCCCCCCCTATTTACCTCCTTTCCAAGCATAGAGTCAAACGGAAATAAAAATTTTAGGACTTTTTTCAGATTCTTCCATTAAGAACTTCATTAACTAAATATAAATTTGGGGTTAATCAACAATAGCATATCAATTCCCTCTCATTTCCAA